CTTTTCAGTTGCTTTGTGGTGAATGGCGTTGTTTTGTTGCTGCAGTTGTATCGCTGCTTTTCAGTTGCTTTGTGGTGAATGGCGTTGTCTTGTTGCTGCAGTTGTATCGCTGCTTTTCAGTTGCTTTGTGGTGAATGGCGTTGTCTTGTTGCTGCAGTTGTATCGCTGCTTTTCAGTTGCTTTGTGGTGAATGGCGTTGTTTTGTTGCTGCAGTTGTATCGCTGCTTTTCAGTTGCTTTGTGGTGAATGGCGTTGTCTTGTTGCTGCAGTTGTATCGCTGCTTTTCAGTTGCTTTATGGTGAATGGCATTGTCTTGTTGCTGCAGTTGTATCGCTGCTTTTCAGTTGCGTTGTGGTGAATGGCGTTGTTTCGTTGCTGCAGTTGTATCGCTGCTTTTCAGTTGCTTTATGGTGAATGGCGTTGTCTTGTTGCTGCAGTTGTATCGCTGCTTTTCAGTTGCTTTATGGTGAATGGCGTTGTTTTGTTGCTGCAGTTGTATCGCTGCTTTTCAATTGCTTTATGCTGAATGGCGTTGTTTTGTTGCTGCAGTTGTATCGCTGCTTTTCAGTTGCTTTATGCTGAATGGCGTTGTCTTGTTGCTGCAGTTGTATCGCTGCTTTTCAGTTGCTTTGTGGTGAATGGCGTTGTTTTGTTGCTGCAGTTGTATCGCTGCTTTTCAGTTGCGTTGTGCTGAATGGCGTTGTCTTGTTGCTGCAGTCGTATCGCTGCTTTTCAGCTGCTTTGTGGTGAATGGCGTTGTTTTGTTGCTGCAGTTGTATCGCTGCTTTTCAGTTGCGTTGTGGTGAATGGCGTTGTTTTGTTGCTGCAGTTGTATCGCCGCTTTTCAGTTGCTTTGTGGTGAATGGCGTTGTTTTGTTGCTGCAGTTGTATCGCTGCTTTTCAGTTGCGTTGTGGTGGATGGCGTTGTTTTGTTGCTGCAGTTGTATCGCTGCTTTTCAGTTGCTCTATGGTGAATGGCGTTGTTTTGTTGCTGCAGTTGTATCGCTGCTTTTCAGTTGCTCTATGGTGAATGGCGTTGTTTTGTTGCTCCTGTTGGGGGAATTGGCTGTTGGAGTGCTGCGGATAAAGCAGCTCTTACCGCTTGCGTCTCTTGACTGCGCATACGCCACCAGGCCTGACGCGAGCGAGCGCCTTCTTCATTGGTGGCTATGCACTTTGCATGCATGCGATGTGTAAAATGCATGCAGCTGTTGCACTATTTGGAAAGCGAGGGGCCTCACAAGTGTCGCCAACTGCTCCGCCTGAATCGCGGAGTCTTCGGACGCCAAGCGGCAGTTTTGCTGCTGAGACAGTTGCAGCAACGCGTCGAGCAGAAGCAGCACGAGCAGCTGCTGCAAAAGCTGCAGCGGCTGCAGGAGGAGACAGAAGCGGATATGCAGAACATACAAAACCAAAGGGAGCTTGTATTGCGGCAGATGCAGCGCCTGCGTCAGCAGCAGGAAGAAGAGCAGAAGAAGCAGAAGCAGCAGCAGGAAGAAGAGCAGCATCACAAGCAGCAGCAGGAAGAAGAGCAACATCAGAAGCAGCAGGAAGAAGAGCAGCATCAGAAGCACTGTGGACGGCGGCAAAAGAGGGAGCAGGGGCAGCTAGACGAGCTTCAGTTTGCGCTGGTGCAAATAGAGAAGCAGCAGCAACTGGCTGCAGCACGCCAGCGGCAGCAGCAGCAGCAACTGCAGCAGCAGGCTGTTGGTGCGGTAGTAGAGGCAGCAAGAGTGCTGCATAGAGGATTCTTAGAGCATGGAGCCTTCAGAGCCAAGCCGTTGAATCACTGGAAACACAGGACCAAGGTGTGTTGTGTCTACGTGGTGCTGCAGCAGCTGTCGAGACTCCTGGCAGTATTGCTTTCTGCTCCCGGCTGGCTGTAGGGAACGAATACGAATCTGCTGGTGCTTTGCAGCGGCTCTTCTTGGCGTGGCTACAGCACAACGGGAAGGGTAGCAGCCGAAGCAGCAAACCTTCGCTACCGCTATTAGCTACTGCATAGTTATCACCATTAGCTACTGCTTTGCTACTGCCATTAGATACTGCTCTGCTACACCGTTAGCTGCTGCTTTGCTACCACCATTAGATACTGCTTAGCTGCTGCTTTGCTACCACCATTAGTTACTGCTTAGCTGCTGCTTTGTTACTACCATTAGATACTGCTTAGCTGCTGCTTTGCTACCACCATTAGATACTGCTTAGCTGCTGCTTTGCTACCACCATTAGTTACTGCTTTGCTACTGCTTTGCCGCAGATCAATCCGGGAGCCCTCGCGCCTTTCATCTTAGGGCGTGCAGGTATGAATGCAGCAAATCTTGAAATAGATCTGCATAATGCGTGCTGCTGCATTCAGGAAGGTATTTTGAGTAGCTTGGGAGGGGGGGGGGGGGGGGGGGAAAGCCTCAACTGCTGCAGAGAGGATGCACAAGCGAAGGCGTGTAGGGCTGTGTAGGTGGGCTGTGTTTCAGGATCTACGCCTTGGGAACGCCAGCAGGCGACAGCTGCATTTAGCGACTGCGTTTACAACGGCCACCTCTTCGCTGCCTGCCGCATCTTGAGGCTTCAGACAGAGTGAGCTATGGCCTTTTTGCGTCAGGGGGCATTGACTGCTTGTGCTGACGTTGGTGGATATTTGGTATTCTCCTTTATGGGGTGTGCGCGCGGTGCGGAGGGGATTCGAGGTGGAGGAGCAATGGCGTTGAAAGTTTTTGCGTGCAGCTTGCTGGAGCTACGTGGCCGTCCTGAAGTTGTCTTGGCGTTTCTGCGTCTTTTCGAGGATCTGAATGCTCGAGGCAAGGAGCTGCACCTGCAGCGAGAGCAGCGGAAGAAGCAGCAGCAAGCCGCGGCTGAGGCGGACGGGCAGCAGGATGGAGCACATGCACAGCAGCGGCGAGAGGGAGAAGAGCAGCACCAAGCAAAGGAGAAAGCAGCGCCTCCTCAAAGTGGCGAAGCTGCCGATAGCGATGACACGAGCGACACACTTCGCGGTGATGGCCAAAGCAGCAACACGCCGATGCTGCTGACTCGAAATCTTCGCTTTCGACTGCGCAAAGCAGCAGAAAAGGCGAAGCAGCGCCGCTACGCTCTCCCCGACGCCCTCAAAGCAACACCCGATAGCAGCAGCAACAACAGCAATGCCAGCAGCAGCAACAGCAGTAGCAGCAAGTACTTTTCAGCGTGCAGTTTTAAGGACGTTGCATTCCTGAGGAAGGTGTATTTGTCAACGATTCGGCGACCGCGGGTGCATGCGAAACTGGCAGAAATCGTAACGCACTGGGAGGAAGAGCACCACGCTCTCGCCAAGCAGCAACAGCTGGATGACTTGAGGTAATTTCGTGTGGGCTGCTGTTGCAGCCGTTGCAAGTCCCCTCAGGCTGCTCGTTGTTTCCGATACGGTGTGCGTCTCTTTTTTGTTGCTCTTCCTGCTGCTGCTTCGGTATGAAACAATTCATCAAACAACGCTGCTGCGGCTCCTACAGGGCGCGTCGTCACGCTGAGCGGGAGAAGTGGTTTGCTGCTAAGGGCATGGACTTGCCCTTCTTAGAAGAAACAGCACGGCAGCTGCAGTTGAACGCCGAGAATGTGCAGTCGCTGCAGGAGTTTTTCAAGAGTCCAAACTTCGATCTGCAGGCGTGGCTAGATGAACCCCCGCCCGGACGTCTCGCGAAGGACCCTCCCGTTGAGCAGCAGGAGGAAGGATGAGAAATCTTCTCGCGGATGCCGACCGCAGACGCTGTCTGGAGCAGCTTAAGGAGCGCCAGCCTGCCGCAAAAGCTACGGCGCTGTGAAGGCTGTTGTCGCGGAGAAAGATGCTTGCTCGCCGCGAGCCGCACGCCTCCCACCAGGTCAGCAGCCAGCAGCTGTCACATATGGACGCCTGCTCGTCTGCCTATTCGAAACGGCTGCAAGCGGACTGAGAAACAGCGCTCACCAAATATCGCCTACCAGCTGTCACTTAAAGCGCGCCCTCTTCGCAAAGCCATTGGGTCTAGGGTTTAGAGAGTTGCACTAGCTTCTAGCGCTTTTAGCTCTCCCTCCCTCCCCTCCGCTTCTCCCCTGAATTTGCTGCCCTAGATACAAGAACAGGAGCTCTTCGATCGAGATAGAACCGCACTCGCTAGCTGCGGCGAATAAGCGACCTATGGGTGGTCTGCGTAAAATTAGCGTCGGCCTCGCCAGAGCCTTCACCGGCCAGCACAATGCCTGCCTTCTCAGCGGCGCAAGCAGCTAGCCGTGTGAACGCAAGCAGCCAGCTAGCCATGTAAGCTCCAGCCGCTGTTGCCTAACAACTACGGCAGCACCAGGAGCAGCTACACCGGCAGGGCGAGTGGGGCGAAGGCGAGGGATGCGGTGTAGGCTCGTCCTCTTGGAGATTGAATTGGCGCTGTAGATGACCCTGCGGCGGCTAGATCTTCGCTTGTAGTGGTAGATGTCTTTTGGAAGCCACGAAGAAAGCTCTCTGAAGCAGACGGTCCTCAGGGCAACCTGCGTGCTAGGTAGCTAGCTGATGTATAGGATTTCTTTTAGTTCCCAGGGCAGTGAGCTCGCAGACTAGATAGCCAGGGAGGTCACTGAGTGTTTTACATGAGTATCTCGGAAAAACCGACTGGGGGTTAGCCCGCCCAAAAGAATAGTAGAGTGGTCGGCAGCAGCTCTGCCTACTGGGGATCTTTTTCACTTTGCTAAAATAACTCTAAGCAGTGGAATGCACATGGCCGGTGCCTGACGAGGCAGCAAGCACAGCCCACATATATGCCGCTACTATAGCTGCATAGATCGCTGCAGCTGCCACTGCTCCGTCTGCAGTTACGGCTACGGCACCTGACACGCCTGTAGCAGCAAGGGCTGGACCAAAGCATGACGAAGGGTGGACCAGATAATAAATAACCAAAAATTCTGCCTTCGGCGTCTGAAAGCTTGGCTTCGGTCCTCTACCACTCCATCGCTGCCCCTCTGGCTCCCACGTCTTCGTGCAGAAGGCGTCCCTATACAGACGGCAAGCGTAAACAAAGAGGAGGACAGAGTCAAATGCCGACACAGCTGCAAAGTATCCAAGTGGCTACGAGCAAATATCTGGCCTTACCGCACAGTCCAAGGCGCAGCTAGCCAGTGTGCGTGTGAGCTCGCGGCCGTGCTTTATTTGACTTCCAGGCGCACCCTGATGAAATGCACGCGTTCACACATAGTCGATAACAGCTGCTTCTTACCTCAGGCAACTAGTTAGAGGCCTAGAGAGGTAATTCAATGAACTGATGCTTGTGCAAGATCTGCCCTCGCCAGCCATGGCCTAGCCACTTTTCCTGATGCGTGCTCATTGCTGGCTGATCGCTTCTCCGTAGGCTAGCATAAGCCACCGACTTATGACCCTATCTCTAAGGGTCCGCCACCAGGGATGCTTCAAGGCTTCTCGCACGCACGAAGAGCAAGGAGATATGCAGCAGCAAAGACATCCGAGGCAAGTGCAAGATATATCGTATGAGTACAAACAGCAGAAAGAATAGGGTTTGAGGGTGAGAGCAGTGACAAGAAAAAGCCATTTGCAGCGGAGAGTTGCATATTGAAGTCTCAGATAGGTGTGCTTTCAACAATGGCAGCTGTCTGCAGCGCCCCATTCGTGAGGCTAGATGCCCTAGATTTGTTGTGCCTAAGAAACTGGTAATATTGTATTATAAGGGTCTAGGATTGGCGAGGAGACTTTGGGGTTTTAATTTATGAGCACGGTCTCGCTGGCCGTCATGACATGAATGGAGCTGTCAAATGAATATTCAGAGAAGGCATTTACCTTTTCTGATGGGGGTTTCGAGCCTTCATAGGAAGTGCAGTCGAAATCGGCGTCCCTCTCTTCGCACTTCAGAAATCGCAGATCCGAATGCGCAGCACGCATCTCGATCAGTGGCGAAAGAGAGACAAAGGAAAATGACTTTGCGTTCAGCCAAACACAAAGCGCACAGAGCAAGCTGGCCCCTAATCCGAGCACACCCATGACGGGCAAAGAAAGCTGATCACTGACTACTTAGCTCACAAGGAAGGCCACGAAGCACCACAACTAGTACCGGCATGAGCCGAGAAATCGCGTGGCAAATGCCGTCCGCGAGTTTATCCGCAGGTAGTGTAGCATGAGAAGCACCAATAGAAGCCACCGGCCACCAAATCGAAGTCAGAAATTGTAGTCATCTACAAAGTAAGCAGCAGCAAGCTCGGCAGAAACAGAAACAACTACCGGCAGATCACTACAAGCTTTTTCAATGAGCCCACCGTTCAAGTTCCGAAGAATAAGATCTCCAAGTGCCTAAATATTGGATTACAAATATGGGTCACATGTCTCACTTTTCGTTGTAGCAGGGCCTGCGCAAAGCATCCGTATCCACGGCAAGAGAGAACGCTGCCAGAAGTCAATCACAGAGAAATAATGTAGGCGTGCTACTTGGGTAGGAATGCATTCAGGGGCGCCTGCATTGCGCACCCACATCATCTTGCTTCGATGTCTCTGCTAACTCCTCGTCCGTGTACATGGTGTACCGTCCCTCCAGCATTGGCCTGGAGACACTCAAAGCTACACAAAGATACTACATGTAGCTACAAGCCAACGAGGCAGCAGCGAAAGTCGAAATAAGGCAAAATAAAGATTGGGTAAGCCGAATGCATGGGTATTGACCGTTCCTTTTTTAAGTGCGGAGGCAGCCAACAAAGGTAGCCGCACACTGCACAAGGTGCACCGCCTGTGAACGTCATTCTACATCCGCTATTGGCCGTTCTGTTGCATTGTGGCAACGCACATCACAAGGAGGACGGCATCATTTTCTGTGAAGCAGGGCAAGTGGTCATTCTCCACGAGGGGCCGCTTCCGCTACATTAATCGAATACCTGTACAGACACGCATGCAGATGCGGAATGCGGGGTGGCAACTAGAGAGAGAATCAGTGAGACCGGTGCAGTGATGCCGGCCGAAGGGCAGTTAGAAGGCCATGAAGCATACAGTGAGGCAAGGGCCAATGCGCGAGAGAGACGGGCGGAAGAAAACCATAAATACGACCATCTCGATTTGTGCCAGTGGGGGAATAACTGCACCAGCATGTCCGAGTCCGCTGCGGTGCTTGGTGGCTTTTCTGCATTGCGAGAGGCAATATGCGAATCGTTACCCTCTTATCAAGTAAACTTTTCCAACAGCAGGAAGAGGAGCGCCCAGAGCAACAACAACTTGAGATATACGCTTTTCTTTTGTTCTCGCTTAGCCGCATATAATGGCATCGATTTTCCTACCCGTAATTTCTCTTCATTGCACCCCTCATGTTAGAGAAAGAGAGCAAATGTTGGGACTCATAAGCAGCTCAGTAGGAGTTTTCTTGCATCCTGGTGCAGCTACTGCTGCTATTTAAACGTCGATAGGCGCCGGCTTGCTGAGGCCCGAAAGGCGACAAAACAGGCTGAATCATCGGCTGCATGCAGCACAGAGCCGAAATCAGTGTAAGAAGTTGTTGGTGGCGCTCCCGAGCAGGAAGCCGGTGAAAAAGGCACAAGTGACCCTGGGTCTGCAAGCGGTCTCCCAGCAGCAAGACGGGGGGTATTCCGCATCTTTTCCTTCTTCATGCAGTTCTTTGAACAGAAAGCTACATAATTCAGCTAGAATAAAAAAGGATGCATGCACAAAACCGCCGCCGTTGCATGTGCTGTATAACACAGCACCATGTGTGTCTCGATGCATTAGGGCCTCCTGACGCACTAGTCCCCCGCGCTCAGGCCACAGATGTTCTCGCCTTACAGTAAATATGATCATATATTCTAGTATCTGAACAGTTTACATTTCTGTAGGTGCCGCTCCAGCAACCGCAATAGAAGCAGCGTCAAGGGCCCTCTTAAATTTCACACGCTGGAGCAGCAAAGACAGCAGCAACACCAAGGCTAAAGAGGAGTAGTTCTGGCCTCTCGCTGAGACATAGCATACGAGACAACAACAAGCGCCACCCCAAAAGGAAAGACGCTGTAGTTCCCCTAGCAGCAACAGCCCCTGCTACCTCATTTGCAGCCAAAAGGCGGTACTAGGAAGGAGTACCCACAATCACAGCCATCGCAGGAAAGAAAAAAGAATTGCACCAAAGCAACTGAGCAAAGTAGAATGTGTTGAGGTAGAGCATCGATAGCAGCAGCAAGATCCGCGGCGAGATCCAGCTAGAAATACACAGTAGACACGAAGGGGCCAGGAAAGAAGTGATTGCGCTTACTGAGGCAAAACTGATTCCTAAGTGCAAAGAAAGAGGGATACACGAAAATACATATGAAAAGCCACACAACGGTTGTAATGCGCGCTGCGGTTTTGGCATTTTGTACTACCGTAGTTGCTAGTGCTACTACAGCTACGGGCGCCACTGTTGCTGGCCCCCCTGGCAGCCTGAGGGGATATAAAAAGTGGGAAAACAAGTGAGATGTGCTATCCTTGGGGGCAGCAGCATCCGCGGCATGAGTAATAGGGGGAGGACGGACACTAGCAGCGCAAAACAGGCATGGTGCAGCGCAACATCCGCTGTTTTTCCTTTGTATGTTCTTTAGATGCATCCCTTCCATGGATTCCGTCTTTGCTGCTTCTCCGTGCGCGCCTCTTGAAAGGCCTAAGACGCCCATTCTCCTGTGATCTTATGCCAGCTCGCAGCCTCGCGAAGGCTTCACTGCCACGCCAGGTATGCCGTGGGCGTGGGCCCTCTGCTAAGCCCTCCAGCACGGGGGAGGGGGGCCCTAAGCCAATCTGAAGGCTTTTCTCTCTAGTTGATGTGCTCTGCTTTCCTTGTTTGTGGTTCTCGTGTTCCCAGTTGTGCTTGCGTTCTCACGCGCTACACGCTGTGTGCTAGATGCCAACCTCGGCGCTTATCCTGAAATTTGAGCCTGTAACTTCTGCGCTCTAGATTCTAGATGTCCCCATGTAACGAAGAAACGTTTAAAGGCATTGATCGTATATAGCGAGCTCCTTCTCGGTAACATGGCGAAATTCGCCCTTAAACATATCGATGACCTATGTGCATAATCCCCGTACACAGCGCGCAATCACTACTCTAAATTGCCTTGCCACTACGGCCTACAGTGTCGGCACTCGGGCTTCGGAGTTACGATCTGAAAGGTTTAAATCCTTTCGCAGAGTCTGGCAAACTCGTCGAAGTTGAGGAACTGCTTTCCTTCTAGGCGCTCCAAGAGGAAGAGTTGCTGCACGTCTGCCGGCGACAGCTGCTCCCCTAAGCAAGTCAGAATCTGCTCTATTTCATTTCTTGCACACACTTGAGTGCCGTCAGGGTCTAAGAGAGAGAAACAGACACGCAGTTCCTCGATCTCTGCGAGGGACAAGCCAGGGAAAGGATCAGCTACGGAGTCCCCTAGAGCACTGAGAGCATTCAAGGAGTTCTTTTTCTTTTGCTTCGACTTGTTGAGGCTCTGGAGCTCTGCCGCCCGTTTCTTCCTTGCCAGGGATTGGAAATCGAACAATGTGATTTCTCGTTCGCCTTGCTTGTCAACCACTTGCACGATTTCTGCAAAACTCCAAACTTGGCCCAGGGACCGTAGCATGGATCCCAAAACTCCGGCGGGGACACGACCTTTCTCGTGAATGTCAAAATACCTGAAGACGAAGGTGACAAGACGCTCAAACTGCTGCTGCGAATCCATCTTCTTCTGCTCAGCGATCTCAGCAAAGTGGAGTCGGGGGAGCGACGAGCAAGGGGAAAACCTGGAACCGGAGAGGAAGACCAATATGAAATGAAATTGAGTAGGAAACAAATGAATAGTTACGTTGAAAGCCACAATAAAGAGAGGAGCACCACTGGCCGGTCGATTCAATCAGCAGTGGTTAGTGGCACAAGGAAGCCGCTGCTCTTCTAGTTCGCAGAAAAATACTACCTAATAAGTAAACAAAGGAAATAATGCGTTTGGCGGGAGGGTATCATTGGATGAAGGAAATACTGAACAGAGTGCAGAAGGCTATTTGCCATGACTAGCACAACAGGGCTGCTGCATTGCAGGTACCATGATCAGGGGACACACCACCGCCGACCGGGATTTTCCTTCTGTTCTTTACGTTACAGTTTGCATCAATATGTGCATACAATGCTCATTTTAGTACATGGACTCTTATTATCACATTTTTGGGGTCTTGTCTCTCTCCCTGCCGTGCCAGCTGAACAGCTGAACCTCCACGCTTCTGCACGGTAGCCGACAAACACACCTTCCCTTGAAGGCCAGCGGTTGCAATTTTCCCTCAGTTTTCACTTTATTTGCTGTATGCATGTGTTGCTGCTTTGGTGTAGGCATCGTAAGCCACAGGTGGTTCTACTATCCTGAGCCATGCATGGCGTTCTAGCCCGTTTGCGGTTTAAGCAAATATAACCCGTGAGATGAGAGGCATAAAGGGCCATGTGGAATGTCCTCCGGGCATCGGCGGGCCTTTAGTGGGGAAAGATCCTCATTGCAGCAAACACTCACGCTTGGATACGCGCTAGAGAGGGCCTATATGGGCTGTGAAACAACTCAAGGAGTGGTATCTAACACCTGTACTTCTAAACTTAAGACCCTGAATCCTATTCGTGAAAATCTGGAAATCCGTTATGAAAAAGAATTGGTATCTAAAACGGGGGCAGGCTGCATCTGAATGTGAGACCCTCTAGTTGCTTTCCCCGTCCATTTCCTTGCACATTACATTGAATGTGGCTTGTCACAACGACATATCTGCTGAGGTCATCACAAATCATTCATAAAACCTACAGAACTCTCACAAATAAACAAAGGCCAGAGGGCACATTGGCAGTGTGCCAAGGCACTGCGCTCCACAACCGCAAGGGAGGGTGCCCTCAGAGGGTGTTCTCCTCATGCCTTGGCAGACAGAATATGAGGCGCAAAAGTGCATTTCCAGTCTTTGCTGGCTTGTGCTGCTGAGGCTCGTCTAGAGCCTATGCCTCAAGCCATGACAGAGGATCTCTGGTGAGACCCTCTTCTGGAAGACCTGCTTCGGAAAGGGAGAGGCCACCTGGGGCGTCGCGGGGCCCAGAGGCCCCAATAACGCCTTTTTGCTCGTCGGTAGGCTGATCATAGAGCGATGTTGGGCTTGCTGCCAGAGAGTGATTTTTGCTGCTGCTGCTGCTGCTGCTACTGCCACGTCGGAGGAGGTGCATGGCTTGGCTGATGCTCTTCCGGAAGCCTTTAAAGTTTTGCGAGAGCTGCAGGGCTCCACTAGGCGACTTAATCAGTGCCCCCATGGGGAGGCTACCTGAAGGTGTGGAGAGCATCTCAGCGCCCTCCTCACGGCGCTCCTCCTCAGCACCCGCTTCTCCCACAGGCCCATCAGTCCTACAGGCATCGTTTTTTGTAGAGGCCTCTTCTTTAGGAGTTTGAAGCCCAGGTGGCCTTTGATTGATGTAATCAAGCGGCTCGTCCTCATGCAAAGAGAGAGAACGACCCAAGGGTTCTCCTTCAGGGCCCGCCTCCACTGCAGTTTTCTGCAGGGCCTCCCCCACAACGTGAGGATCCCCCGGGGGCCCCTGAGGGCATTCCGAGCTGCTTTCTTGTGTACAATCGGGTAGAGCACCCAGTATATCTGTTGTGGGGGCTTCTAGGGAGCTGAGTCTCCGCTCAGGGCGTCCTCCACTGCTGGTGCTCTTGTTGCTGCGGCTATTGCTCTTACTAGAGCTGTCGCTGTAACAGCTCCTACTGCTGCAGCTGTTGCTACTACTGTGCATTCTGCCAGCGGAATAGCACCTGAAAAGTGCTTCCCTCCTAGCCGATGCATGAACAAAGGGAACCGCCTCGGAAAGGCCTGACTGGCATCTCAGTGGGGGTACCTGGGGGGCCCTCCTAACGCTGGGCGAAGTCCTTGGGGGCCCCTCATGCAAGTCGGAAGCTTCGTCTGCATCTTTTGGAGTTTTCCCCATTATACGAGAAAAAAGCTTGCGAGTTCCACCCCCGATAGAAGCGCCCCAACCTCTTTCCTCTCTGGGAGACATTGGTGTCTGCTGCGGCGGGTGCTGTTGCTGCTGCTGCTGTCGCTGTTGCTGCAAGGGGCTTTGCTGCTGCAGCATTTGTAGCTGAAGAGGTGGGACGAAGGGGGATGAAGAGGCTTTCACAGGAATGGCGCCCCTCGGCGAGTAGTACGAATTGCCATCTGGTCGCGGTTGCTGCTGCTGCCCTTGCTGCTGCAGCATTTTTTGTTGTTGTTGCTGTTTCTGCGCAAACGCAGCTGCCATACTAGGCCCAGTGCAGTGATCGTTCGTGTGTGATACGCCTCTGAAAGTTAAAAAGCCCCCAAAGAGGCTCTCTAGTCCCCTAGGCGAAGGTGGAGAGACAGTGCTCTGCTGAGGCGAGACCCCTTGAAGGGAAACTCCAGTTAAGGTGCGCTGAAGGGCCCCCTGACGTGCCCCAAGTTCTTCGTAGGCGCTTTCTGCATATTTGATTTTATACTGGATTAGCTGCGACTGCAGCTGCTGTCTCTCTGTTGAGACTGTTTCCATTTGCTGCTTCAGTTGTTGTAGCTGCTGTTCATGCTGCAGAGGTAGCGCAGAACCAATCGCAAAAAACAACCGGCGCTGCACGAAAAGCCGTTAGAAGGTTCTCCTCACAGGTCACCAAACGGCAGCAGCAAAAGCAATGCAAGCAGCGGCAGTCCCAAATATAACCCAAGCACTACCAAGGCGCCACAGCAGCCACAGCAGCAGCAGGAGCAGTCGCAGCGTTTGAAAAAGCAGTTCAGACCTCTTTGCAGGTAGCTGTGGCCTCGGTGAGCTGCGTTGTTAGCTCCTGATTCTTCTGTTGCTGATGATACAACCGGCCGATAAGATCATCGCGCTCAGTCTTCAACGAACTCAACTCCGACGAGAGAAGTTTCATATCCTGAACCACAAGTCGTACAAGAAAGCCTAGACAACCATCCGCCTCTTCCGTGAAATGCCTCGAGGCCAGGGAGTACACCCCAGCCCTCAGAGTTCCTGCTACACGGAAACGCGCGTGCAGCAGGGCGCCAGTGAGGAGGAAATCTTCCAAAAGGCCAACTAAGACGTACAGGGTGTGTGGTGTCTTCATTTGGGGCGTCTTTGTTCCTTCGTTCGGCTTCTGCAAGTGCTGCGTTTGCGGTGCCGAGAGAGCGTCTAAGGCAGTAAAGCTCTTCCAGGAGACCGTCCCTTTCCTTCTTCGCCGCTGCTAGGTCCTTCAGCTGTTGAGTGCTGATTGCTTCTTGGAGAAGCGCCTTCTGTTGGTGGTGGTAGTCCTGCTCTAGCAGCAGCTCCTGCTGCTGCTGGAGCTGCTGCTGCAGCGAGACGGCACGCTCCAGCCACAAGGCTAAGTCTCCCTCCACCTTGTAGAACCAGAAGCCCAGGGCCCCCAGTCTTTTCCTGAGCGATTCCACATCGTTCTCTTTCTCGACTCCCTCGAACAGCTCCCAAATTTCCAGATCCAGGAGCCGCGGAAGCCCCTCGCCGAGGACTGCCCGTACTTGGGGGGCCTCTCCGCGCGACGAAGACGCACCCTGCGGCGGAGCGGGAGAGCCTTCTTGCCAAGCAGGCCCAGCTGCAGCCTGGAGCTCGTCGGCCTCTGCGAGAAGGCGGGTGGAAGCAGCCGACGCCAAAGAGAATGCGAATCGGTGATTTCTGCCCACGCCCGAGCCACGGCTGCTCGTCCGCGAAATAAAGCTTGCCAAGGACCCCGCTTCGGGTGCCCCCTCCGCCTCCCCCTCGGAGTCGAATGCCAAGTCTTGGCGAGGCGCATGCTCCAGGGAGCCCACCAGGGAAGCTCCCAGAGGCCTATCCCTCAGTCCTCCAAAAGGGCTGCTCGCGGAGAGGCCCCCAAACCCCGAGCGCCCAGCAGGCCGTGCCGGTGCAACAAGGCCTAACGGCAACGCGAAGCCTCGAGCCTGCGTAGGAGCCGTGGAGGCTCTCCTTATGCGGATCGGGGGGATCGCAGAGCTCGAGCCTCTCGAGGCTCCGTCCTCCGAGACATCCGGGGAGAGCGGGGAGGGCTGGGGAGGGGAGAGGCCCCCTTCTGAGACAGAAGGGGCTTCGGAGGCACCGGGCACACCCATTAGTACTCCGTGATTCGCCTCGCTGCTGCCCGTGTGGCTCCAGCGAGAGAGAGAGCGAGGGAGCTCTGGAGGGGGTTCGAGCGGCGAAACGCAGGGAAAGAGAAGATCCCTTTAGTCTCAGTTCGCGAGAGCACAGTCAGGCATTTAGCGGCCCCCCCGACGCCTCTGGAGGCTCGAGGGGCCCCTGCAGTAACACAGAGTCTCCTCAGGAGCCACCGCTCGAGAAGTCGGCCACCTGACCAGGACGCTAGCCAGAAGAAGATACTGAAAGAGGCGCCTTCCTACCAAAGAAAGGGAGGGGATGGGACTGTACAAGGCAAGCCAAAGCCTCGGGGTTGAGGCTCAGAGAGCGAGGCGGACAGGGTGCTTGCGACCAAGTGAGAAGAACCTTCCGGGCTGGAGGAAAGGAGAAGGAATCGATCGAAGCATGGAGAATTTAGAGTGAAGGCTTTCGGAAGGGGTGTGCCTCAGAAGGACCGGGTGACAGAGTGAGACCGCTGGTGCGTGTTGCGGCTTCAAGAGGGGAGACGTGGAGGAAGGGGCTGTCGTTAGGGTGGTCTACTACAGCACTGTTATTGCGTGCGCAGGTAAAAACGGAGCAGAACAAGCTAAAAAAGCGGCTAAACGGGCAATGGGCTCCTAAGAAGAGCAGCCACAGCCCTAGTGCAACACGCCCCGCGGTTGTCGCTAGTGGCGCCGTTGCCTCACGATAACAAATCTTGAAGCATAGACCTCGTCCCTGAATTGTAGAGTCAACACCACAAACTTTAAAACAGTCATTTTCAGCAGAGCAGCGTCCAGGTAACAAGTACTAAAAGAGCTAGCCTTCGCCGACAACTCCTAACCACGGTCATCACAGCGTTGAGAGAGCGAGAGAGAAAGAATGCGCATGGATAAATCAGGAGGCACTGTTCTAGCGCTTTATCCTCAGGTCTTAACGTGTATTAATAGACAGCCGTATCAAGCGTTTCACTCCGCCTAAAATTCGGTTCTAATAGGTGTATCTAGCGCCTTGCGCTCCCGATGTCTTCACGTCTGTTTAGCCAGCCTTCGATGTCTCTTCTCTGCTTTGCCTTCTTCTGTGTCTATCCCTGCGTCCTCTTCTTCTTTACTCATACTGTTTCTCTTGTTTCGCTGTCTGTTCCTCTTTTACGTCTTCTGCACAGGCTCCTGCAGTGCTGCCCACCCCTGCACCCCACCCTTCCCCTGGACACGTTCCGCGGGATCTTTCCGTTGCCAAGCCTCCTACGGTCTCAGCTTGACTTTTCTTGCCAGTGCATTCGTCTCAACTCTCCCTGTGTCATGCTTTTCCCCCCCTGTCCGCGAGTTTTCCTCCAAGGCTCCTAAAACTGGGGTGCCTCCGATGGTCCACCGCCAGGTGTCTCGTGCTTGCTCGCCTTCCTCTTCATCCTCGCTTTCTCTCCGCTTTACCTTCTGCCGCGCCTCCTCCTTTTTGCACTCCGTGTATCTTCATGTGACTCTAGAGAGGCCTTCGCTGCCCGCAACTGCGCGCACGGCGTGGACGGCATCGCTCGTGGCGCCTTCAGGCTTTATTCCGTGGTTCCAGGGTGCGAGAGGGGCTAGAGCGAGAGTGACACAAAGCCTGACGAGCGCTCCCTCATTAACATGCGTTCGCCGAATCTTTGAATACCCAACTAGAATAGGCCCCTCTTGCAATGCATCCCGGAGGAAGTACAAGTCCCACGGGAAGGCCCCCACCCCCAAAACAACAAACCGCTCCACACCCAAAGTAGAATCGCCAAGCCATTGAACCTAAACATTCTCTCTCCACCACTCATAAGGGCCCCCCTTGTGCTTATTCCCCGACACGCAACGCCACGCAGAACAGCCTTCTGTGAGAGAACAGAGAGACCTCTATAATCGGAGCATTATTTCACGGGTTGGCGCTTCCCCATCCCCGTTCCCGTAGCCCGTCAGGGGTGGCAAGAGAAGATAAACTCAGCAGCGTACCACAGCACAAAACCCGGAGAATTCCGACTAAGAGACTAGCAGGGCTGGCTAACGGATGGTGCAGCGTGCACTGACAGAGCGCCATGAAAAGAAGCGGGCTACAGACAGAGAGCCACCGTCGCGAGGCCACGTAAGCACGGAAGCGCAACAAAAATTAGCGTCCTGACCCTCCAAGGTAAGTAAGAGAGAAGAAACGAGGCAAGAGAGGCAGGAGGGCAAGAGCAGCGTTCCATAGGCAAAAAGAGACGCCCCACTCTGCTCACGCGCCTCTCCCCTACCACCTGTCTCCTACTCTTTCCTTGCCTTGTTTTTTTTCGCTTTTGATGCCTGCTTCTTTCTACAAGAAGGCACAAGGACAGATGGATCGGGCTGCCTGGAAACCGCATTTACGCGCTTGTGCTTTTTTCTCGGAATTTGATACCCTGCTTCTCTCCCCTTCTCACTATCCCCACAAATACTCATTGCATTCCTCTGTGCCTCCATTGCTGCATGCCTCCCTGGAGCTTCTTCATCCTTCGAATGCTCGCCGCTTTCGGCATGCCCCCCCTCCCCTACTAACCTCCTATTTCCCAAAGTGGACTTCCCTTTGCAAACCTCCATCACCACGAGCCGCGTCACACGACAGCCCGTATGGATGACCCTGAGGTGCAACAACAAAGCGCTCCACAATCGGAAACACAGGCAGCAAAATTTTTAGGCAGCCAACACCACCAGCTTACAGTGCACAGCAAAGATATTTAGACAATGCACAGAGACACGTCTTTAAGAATGCCATACATCTTGCTATACTATACGCATGCGCCAAAAGTACATGCATATATGTATATAGCTGCATAGAGAATTTCAACACAACATCCAAAGACAGAGACGGCAGAAATCGCCGTTTTCGCAATGCTGCCGCATACACTCAACAAAAGGCAGCCATCCTGAGCGTGAATCCATGGATGTGCAGACATACTCCTTCCTGGAGATGTCGTACCTATCTTCAAGGATTATATAGGGCTTTGTTTATAATGATACACACATAACCTTGTACAGATATATACATACGTATGTGTGCTGGACGCTATCTGTGCGAGCACACATCGTCAGCCATGTGGGAAATGCTGTACAAATCAGCAGAGAGGGCATACCTGATAGGTTCGATCTGTGGAAGGGTTGCATCTCCCTTTTCGTTTCGCTTGCCGCCGTCCTTATTGGCCTGTGGGTTTAGAGCCGTTGCGTTCTTGATGGCTGCAGCTCTTTCGAAAGTCCAAATCGCCACGGTGCCGCTGCTGTCGGCGCTGAAGAGGCATCCCTTTGACGACTCTCTGGCGTCCTGACGGCAGAAACGGAAACAGAAGGGGCAGGAAAAGCGTAGCGTTGCATTCGGCAAGCATGAAGCAATGCCTAATTCGCTTTATTGCGCCTCTGCAGCAGCAGCGGGGGGGGGGCGGGTGGGGAACCCATGTCAGCGGTTGGCAATGCAAATTAGGAGAACGCATATCACAAGCAGCGCAGCGAAGCATGCAACACAGCGCTCTTCCTGATTCGCCATACCTTGCAGAAATAGCTGAGGGCTTTGATCCTCGTCTTGTGGGGTGAAACGAGAAGGGCCGTCTCCCTGATGTTGCCTCCCCCTGCTGCGTCTTCCGCGGCGCTAGCATTAGGGGAACAAGAAGGCCTTCTTTTGAGAGTTTGAGCAGCCTTTGTTGTGACTGCCGCGGCTCTGGAGGGGGCCCCCTCCAGAAGAGAGAAGCAGTGCACCCCTCCGAGAGAAGTTCCCGCGAAAAGTGTGTGCTTGTCCTCTCCGAAGCAGAAGGCACTCCCTGAGTAGCCGCCACGAAACAAGTGATGCATACTGAGTTCATCAAGTGTCGCTCCCTCCCAAAGTAGCCTCTCTCTCTCCCCTCTGCACGCTGCCTACAGGGATATTTGCATGCAGCGGCACGCGCTTACAAGCAGCCTGCGGGGTGGGTGTCGTCGTCGGGGGGGCCCCCACGACACAAGAGTCTCCGGAAGCGGCTTCCGCCTTCGCCAGCTCCTTTGTTAGAATTTTCTTCGCAAACAGTACGCCAAAGGAAGTGCCACAGGGTGACCAGCTCACGCTGAGGGGCCCTAGGGCAGACGCACATGCGCAAAAGAGCAGACGAGCACATCCGGGCAGTAGCTGCGCAGTCGCCTAGCGCTGTTAGCTTTGCGCGAGGAAGGCCCCTCTCTGCTACACCCACGCACGCTTACCCTCGTCGAGTTCAAACCTAGCCGTACAGACTCCGCGCATCAAATCCAAAAGGAGCAGCGCCCTGCTACCGTTCAAACACAGCGCCAGTTTACAGCTTGCATGCACCACCACTTGCGAGGCTGCTGCTGCCCCCGACAAAACTGCTTTCTTCTGCCGCTTCTCCTGCGTATTCTGCCGTGTTTGAATCGTCTTCAGGAGCTGCCAGTCTCCCGTGCGCCTGAGGGAGAGTGCCCCTCCCTCAGAGAGGCAGAGGCAGAGGGAGGAGCCTGCAGCTGCCAAGCTGCTGACGGTCTGCTGCTGCTGCAGCAGAATTAGGCCCTTCTCTTGCATGCTGCCAACGTCGTACAGCCTGCAGCGCAGCACCAGCAAGAAGCCTCTCGCAAGCGCTCTCCCACTAGCTCGTGTTGCACAGGGCTTCCGCCGAGACAGACAGACACGCAATACCGTGAGAGAAGACGACGAGCGCAAAGCGCCTCTATTGAGCCGCCAAGACACAGGCACGCCTAGAACCCCGCAGGGTAACTTTCAAGCAGAGAGGCTGCAGGGAACAGCACTTCCAAAGGGTGTGGCTGCAAGTGCGAAGGGCCTCACTTCAGCGTTTCGTCTGTGCTCCCCGAGACCAGGAAACGACCTACAGAGCAAAGGGCAGTCACACAGCCCTAAAGCAAAGCGCACAGAAGGAGAGGGATGCTGCACATAAACAGGCGAAGTGATGGCTCCACAACAAGGAACGGCCAGAGGGGGAGGGGGCTCCGGAGAAGGCAGGCGCTTGCATCGACGTAGCCAAACGCGAGATCGCTCATTTGTTCGGAGCCAGCAACAACCTTCGGGAAGTTCTGACAACAGCGCGAAAGGGAGGATGAGGCAGCGCAGGATCGACATCGGGGCGGGGGGGCTGGTTGGTTCGTCGTGAGGCCTTACGGCGTGCGCGTTGACAGCGAAGATCCTTTGAATGCCTTCCTCCGACTCCTGGCATTCGCTCGCATCCTTAAAGCTGCAAGAAGAGGGCCCTATCAAATGGGAGGCATCCACGCGATAGCCGACGAGGCCTCCCTCATAGGTCCCCAGCGCAAGGATCAACTGCGGGAAGGAAGGCTTTTGAGGCCCCTCTACGGGAAGCTGCGCCTCCTGGGGGCCCTCATGATGATCAGCGAGCGCTAGCAGCCTCTGCCGCTTTTTGCCGTGCATTTGCCGCTCGGAAGATGCAGGTTGCACACGAGCAAGGCCCTCCTAGCGGGCAGGCAGCCAGGGAGGGCGGTCAGCAGAGGCTTCGAAACCCACAAAAAAGACTCTTTTTAGACGGCGCTTCCCCTAAAACTGGTAACACAACTCAAAAGGGAGAGAAGTCTACTTGTATCGATGGGGACGCCGACACCCCTCACAACCCTCAGGGGGCCCCTCGTGAGGAGGGGGCCCCCTTCTTGTGCGCCGGCTTTCCCGACGGGCCGGGGCGTTTGGCCCCCTGAGCCGCTAATTACTTTGAAAGGTGCTATTTTCAATGAAAGAAAGAAGAGCTTGACAAAAATATCGGTCTCTTATTCTTGGAAAGGCGAACGACGCACGCGCGCAAGAGTGCAGCTGGCCCAGTGCCTCTATAGCAGTTGCACCGCATTTCCCTTCCCTTCTACACCGGCATTGTCGGGGGCCCCTTCAGTGAAAAGCCCTCTAAGGCCTGCTGCAGTGCGTCAGCGAGCACGCGGCTGTGTAAGAGCCCAGTGCGGTGTGGCGTCGGGAAGGCCGTTCCAGGAAAGCCCTCGCTTCCACGTAGAGGGCCCCCCCTAGAACCCCTTTTACGTGGATTGAGATGTCACTGCACGGGTAGTGCATCTTTTAGGCGCCTAAGAGTCCCGCATGGCACATGACACTCAAACTGTAGGCACCGAGCAGAAGAGCCGAAAATGCCAGTAGAACTGCCGCTGTAGAGGGAGGGGAGGGGGGCTGTTGTTGTAACTCTTTACTTTCCGCAGTAGCCGCTTATGCGAATACTGCTTTTACAAGAGCGCTCAGCCTTTGCGCTCGATCACCGGCCTTTCGCTTTCCTAAGGGCGATGACTTGTGGCTTTCGGAGGCTCCCTTTTCGGGAGCTCTCGCTACGTTCTTCCTGTAGGCACCAGGAGGCCCCTGAGGAGGGCCTCTTTGTTGTGGGCCCCCCTCCACTGCCGATAGGAGAGGCGCACCAGGCGCCACCCGAGGTTCTGAAAAACAAAGCTCTTGAACACAGAGGATCCGTCCAGCCTCTCCGTAAGGAAGGGGCTAAGGCCACAGGGAGCAGGCCTCCCAGCAACTCCTCCCTGCCCCCTCCCTTCTCGCTCTCTCGCAGTTTCTGCATTCGCTGCAGGCCACACAACCGTTACGAAGTGTGTGGGCCCGTCCACTTCGAGCAACAGACGCGCTGAGGAATTCCCTCCGTCTGCAGCGAGAAAGCGAGACCCCCCGAAGCAGTGCTCCTGCTGTAGCGATACCCGCAGACCGAGTAAGGGAGCGAGCGTCTCGAGGGCAGTCAACACCTGCAGGCACACTCACACGCGCAATTGGCGAAGAGCTGTAGAGTCGTTTTTGCAACAGGAGCTGTAACGCCATGCACAGGCCCGAGGCCTAAAATTTGTTGCGGTAAACAACGGAGAAAAAGGGCGCTAGAGAAACAACGGCAGGGCTCCAGGAAACTCGACCGAGAGTCTAACACGATGAAAGCCCATAAACGCCGTCGTTATGCCCCACCTCGCGCTGAAGTGCTGAGTGCTCGTCTGCTTCTTGGGCCCCAGGAGGAAGATGCGGACTCGCGTGTCTAGGAGCCTCGCGCTCGAGGGTGGCTTGCCACGCCAGCAGCTTACTATGCAGAGCTTCTAAAGATGTACTGACAGCGGCTTCAAGCGCCTCCTCAAAGCCTAAAGAACTCCTCTCGGTTGCGCTCCCCAAGAAGGCCCAGGGGCCCTCCGAAGGTTCGCGCAAGGTCCCTAGGGAGGGGCCCCAAAAACGTCGGTGATGGAGTGCTGCTGCCACTGCCTCTAAGGTAAGGGCCCCCTGTCGCGCCTGAGCCGCCTCCAGTAGCGGCAGCTCTGCGGGGAGGCCCCTTAAAAGAAGAAACAGAGTCTTCAGTAAGGGGCCCCACATAGACGAGGGGGGGCCCCCAGGGCCCCAGGGGGCCGGAGAGAGGGGCAGCTGCAAAGCGAGGCCCCAGGCCAAAAGCGCAGCGCAAGAGGGCCCCAGGGGAAACAGCGGAGAGACCACATGAGGAAGGCAGTGCGAACCTTGACAGCGCTCTTGTTGCTGCTGCTCTTGCTGTTGCTGCTCTTGCTGCTGCACCGCTGCTATACAGACGGCCACGAGATGCGGGCAGGCTTCGCCTAAGCGGGAAAACGCAGTAACTGCAAACTCAAGAACTTTCCATGCCTCTGAAATGTGGCTCCCCCTCAAAGGGGGGGTTACCCTGAGAGCAGCTTCCTCTTTTGGAGGCAGTGGGGTCTCCCAAGTGTACTGCTGCTGCTCCAGCTCAGGTACTCGTCGTTGCTGCAGCATCACAGCCTCCAGCTGCTTTGCTGTTGCCATGTCCAGCTGCTGCAGCAGGGGCGGCACAGAGATCCTGCACCGCTCAAGGGCCCCCAGCAGCTGCCTCTGTGCAGCAAAGGGGAAGGAAGGGCCCCCATGGGGGAGGGGGATTTCCTGGAAGGGCACTCGACAGGGCGCATCCAGCAACTGCCACAGCACATGGCTGCACTCCACTAGGAGGCCCCACTGCCGCTGCTCTGGCTGCTGATGCGCGACAGTGGAGAGGAATGCGGTGAGAGCAAGAGAGAGGTCAAGGCGCTTGGCAGGCAAGGGCCCCCCGTCGGTTGAAAATCCAGGCAGATGGTGCCCACCAGGGGCCCCCGAAAGCAGCCGGAGGCTTCGGCTGCAGAGGGCAGCCCCAAGAGCAGCCGCAGTGGGGCCCCTTAGCGCGCCGACGGTGGCAAGTGCAGAAGCAACCCCAACAAAAGCCGACAAAGGGGTGTTATCGATATTCGGGGTTGCCCAAGGCGCCCCGAGTGAGTCCGTTGCCGCTGAAGCGGCAATGGCCTCACTCGTGTGAAGGGGCTGTACACGTGCTGCTGCGCTGTGGGTTTTATCTTCTGCGAAAAAAGCGGTAGCCGCAGCAGCAAGGCGCTGGTCTGCCCATCGATGCAGTCGCCAAAGCGAGCACTCAGCGTGAGCACGCAAGTCCTCTGACGGGGCCTGCAGGCCTCCAAGGAGGCTTCCTTGCAGCACTTCTTCGGGAGAAGTTTGAGCGGATGGCTGCGGCGCATCCTGCAGCAGACGTCCATGGAAGAGCTGCGGAGAATCTCCCCGTGGAGTCTCCCCGTGGGGAGCCGCGAAACCATGCACTCTCGATAGGGGACCCCCAGGTTGGCCCCTGTGAATAGCCTCTTTTCCGTGTGTGAGCTTGTGATGGAGAAGGCGGGAAGCCCCTAAGAGCTGCGCCGCATCTTGAGGGCCCCACGAGGGCAGCACGTCGAGAGCTAGCGTGACGAATGCCTGTAGCGTTTCCCAGTTTAAATGGGCAGTTTTCGGTGTGTCGAGAGCAGAAGTGCAACCTCCTTTTCCTCCGCCTCTTTCGAACGCGGAAGGCGCTACCGGAAGGCGAAGGAGAACCTCCGAAAGCATCTGGATGTCAGCTGGAAGAAAATGCCACCGAGGAGCTGACTCTGGAGGCCCCTCTCCCGCCAGGTCCTTTGGGGCAGTTCTTTTTCGCGAGGCACCCACCAGAGAATCGGATGGTTGTTGGGCAAGCGGCCGCGTCTGCTGCTGCATATTCTGCGGATGCCACTTTCTCAAGAGGGCTGAAAGTAAGACTGCAGCATCGTTGTCGCCCATGGGTAGGGGGGGCCCCTCCGGGGCCCTCTCTTGCACAATTTTTGCAGAGGCCCAGAGAACGGTGCAAATGTGCCGAGCTCTCAGCGCTTGGTGTTTCGCACTAAGGCCGCCATGCGGGGGTTGCCGATTGAGGCTTTTTTGAGGATTCTTTGCCTGTGCAAGTGCTGCGAGGCAGGGTGGCTCTTGGAGCACCTCAACAAGGCGGCGTCTAAGAAGAGCCATGAGGGCCTCCAGCCGCTGTTGCCGTTGCTGCTGCTGCCGTTGTTGCTCTTGCTCCTGCCGTTGCGGCTGCTTTGTGAGCTCGTTGAGGACTGCCGCTGCCCAAGCGAGGCTGCTGCAGCCCACTGGACTGAACGCGTCCTGCTGCTGCAGCGTAGCGCTGAGGAACGCTTCCAGGAGAAGGGCTGGCGCGTCGAGCAGATTTCCGCTTGGCTGCTGCTGCAGGGTGCTGGCAGCCTTGTGCGAGTGTCTGAGTTTGCAAAGCAGTGCAAGCCCCCATCCCGCCATCGCCAGATGCCTTTGGGAGAGCTTCCAGAGGCCTCGCTGCAGCAGCCGCTGCAGCAGCTGCTGCAGCACCGGGCTCTCTAGGGCCCCTTCTACGCTGCTCGCTGAGGGCCCCGAGGGGCCTAGGGGTCCATAGCCGGGGGAGCTGCGGGGAGAGAGGCCCTCGGGATGCAGGCAAGAGGCAAGGCCAGGGGGCACATGAGGCAGCTGGCAAGCCTCCCCTTGTTGCAGGAGCCACGCAAGGCGGTGCAGGGCAGCGGCAGCGTTGGCAGGCGTGATCAGCGGCCAGAAGCGCCATAGATTGTTGTACAGGACGTGGGGACTGGTGGCACTTGTTAGGGCCTGGGTGAGCAACACGTTGAGCTCCCGGAGGGGCCCCCTATGGGGGCCCCCTGGAGGGGCTTCTAGTGCATGCCGCGGGGCGGAGTGGCCCAAGGCCTTAAGGGCCTCGACTGCAGCAGCGACGTCTCGAGAGCCATGTTGAGAAAAGGCCGCTGAGGGAGGGGCCTCTGGGGGGCCCTCTAGGGGGGCCTCCTTGCCGTCGGGGCAGAGGCTGCGTCGTCGCCGCCGTCTCCAGAAAAAGGGAGGCGAAGATCTTGACAGCCCTCCAGGTTCTCCCTGCGCAGGCCGTCTCTCGAGGGTGGCTTGCTCAGCAGGGGGGGCAGTTCCGTCTCTCCAAGAAAAGCCCTCAGTGGCTGTCGAGCGTCTCGCCTCTACGGGCCTCCTTTCGTGGTACGATGCGCAGGGCGGGGAGTCGGCAATTCTCGATGGACTCGAAGACAGGAAGCGGCTCCGTCCCCCCGACAGCACTACGCCACAGCCGCCTCCGATGGGCGAAGGCAAACACCTCCTTGCAGCTTGTCGCGAGGCCAACTGAAGTCGGAGGCTGGAAGGCGGAGAGGGGCCTCCGCAGCGTCCTACCCTAAAAACAACGTGCAGGGCAGTCGCTGTGCCGCCTGCACGGCAGCCGATTCCAAGGCTCATGCAGCAGGACACGTTCTGCTTTTCCTGAGCGCACAGCTGCTCTCGCTTGGGAAACGGGTTTCCTCGAAAAATCAAAGGCACGAAGCAGCAGGAAACACCAACAGGAGCCCAGGTTCCCCCCCTCGCCCTCCCGCGGAGGAGCAACTTTGAAAGGCAGCAGGGGGTAACACACTATTCTCACCTTCTGGAAGCAAAATGGCAGCAGAAATGATGAAAACCAAAATAATATTCGAAGCAATGTTCGCTAGTGCCCGTTGAACCTTCAGCGTACAGAAAAGGCATCGATGGATGCAGGGGGCCCTTGGTGAGGGGCCCAGGCGGTCTCGAGCGCCTTCGCCCCAGCCACTCTAAGAAACTACCGAATTCCCTTCCCCTTCAATTTTTAAAAGGAGAATCAACTTTGCCAGTGATTCCACTGCTGAAAGGGACATGTGTTCGCGGGGGTCTCTCGTAGGAGAGGCCGAGGGGGCAGCCGCTTTTTCGGCTGTCGGTTGCGCTCAACAACCCGGAGGGGCACAGACTGAAACGTCGGAAAGAAAACGGCATCCACTTCAATCACCGTTAAGTTTCGGAGCATTCATAGAAGAAAAAGCAACAGTACGTGGCTTTTTGCCCTGTATAACAGTATACGGCCTCGTTCGAAAATTTGAGCCTTTCTTTGTAAGCACGAGATACAAAAGAACACTGTACGGTCTACGCGTAGAATGTGCCTGACCTTTCCATGCCTGCAAATAGGAAGCTCCTTCTTAAGCAGGCAGATACGCAGAGTTCCTCAGCGTCTCTCAATAATTAGTCTCCCCCACCAGCAGATTGATCCCGCGAAAGTCTTGCTGAGTCTTTGAAGGTTTCTGCAGTTTTATCAAAAATCTTCTTCCGCGTGATATGCAGTCTCTCGACTCCATCGGGGGTTCTCAGACTCTGGTCTCGACAGATGAATGGCGTGAAGAATCGCCGCCACCTGTGCGAGTTGCCTCCTGGCCACTAGGGCACGTTGGAGACCACGAAAGCCAGAGTGTTTACACGATGCTGACTCTACGTAGCTTTCTCGCACACAGGCGACTAGAGAGCGAAAAGCAGGAACCTTATGAAACTACGATATTCAGAAGGAAAGCACTCCTCTCACTTGGCACGCAGCATTCCGCAGTGTCAGTGTTTGCCTTCCTAAGCGTCGCACACTGTATTCGCCCACAATCTCCGTCCTCAGCGGCTATAGAAGTGTAGTGGCAACACGGAGATTCCTACAGTAGGAAACATATCATATAGTGGGAAGACAGTAGAATAACAGGCTTACTATAGAGCGGTAGACACCGAGGTACGCTCTGCTGCCTCTCTTCACGGGTTGCCTGTTCTCAACGACCTAGTTTGCCAGCCCAACACCCTATCGGCGAATCGAGTTGCTAGCTTGCCAGGCAAAACGACCAAAGAAGTCACACCCGCAAGAGGAATGCATTCGGGGGAAGGGTAGCGTAGTGCTTCCGATGCATAGGAAAGGGGGTGTGGACGGACAGCTTGCCCGCTGTACATTTCTACACATTTCTGCCTCTTTTCCGTCCTCAGAAACTGGCCTGTGAAACAAGGGCGAGCAGGAGGCTGCAGCGCGACCCGGTACGTCGTGGACTATTGCTGCGGTCTGGGGCGTGCAGTAGTTAACATGTGCGATCCATCATGCCTTCGAACTGCTGAACTATATCTTTTGACGTATGAAGGATGTGGCAGCGCTCACCGGAAATCGGCGCGTCCGCCGTTTGTGGTGGCTACGTCGTCTGCCTGTCTGTATAGGTGTATTTCGTCCTGTTATGTAGCGAGCCAGTTAGCTTTTGCGGGTCCTTCTTGCCCACGGTTGCACCCCTTTACGAAATAACGGGCGCAGCATCAGCGTGGCGCTTTCACAACATCACGGCCTAAACCTGAACCTCTAGACCTTCTGGAAAAAAGAGAGAAAGAAGGAAATCTTCAAAAGCCTCAAGACGCGGAGGAATGCGCGGACAGCCCATGGGTATCGGTGCCGAGGTTTCCTACTCAGCATAAACAGAACAAGCCCGACAACGAGAAAGCTAGCCGAAAGTCAGGAAGCATCATGCAGAAGTGGGGACACGCCCGTGGCATGAAGCGTGGACAGAGATAGTTGAGGCTGGCCAAGAAGCGCAGCCACAGTTAAACAGGCAGAGGAGACAGGGAGATACACAGCAAACGGGGCAGGCTAGTGGCAACTGAATTGCACAAAAAGTGGCTGTCAAAGCCTTCATCGCCTTGGCGCCCACTTCTTACCTCCTCTTCCTCTTCTTCCGTATCCAAATGAACCCCCATTTCCGGCAGTACAAGCTCAGTTATAGGCCCGAGAAACGCGAATTCCGGGACTTCTTCTGAGCTCCTACGAGAAACAAGGCGTGAAATATCTACAGTCCTCTCTCCACCCTCCTTAAGAAGGCCTGTTACGTCTAGAGAGTCCTCTAATTGCCCCTCGCTGGAAATGTCAGTCCCCCAAGTTGCCACAGAGGCATCGACGGCCCCCACAAATTTTCTGGTGGGAAGGGCAGACGCATCGGTGGGCAGCCGATTGTCCGGAACAGAAGAATAGGGATGATAGCGTGAGGTTTCCCTTAGAAAGTTGGAAGGACTAGCACCTCCTGAGGCGAAAAGCCATACAACCACCGCCTCCCTCCGTCGCTGGAGTGATTAAAAGGGATTAAAAGAACGCAGAAAGACTGCCCTTTCTGCATTTTCGTTGATGGACAAAGACCTTTCGGTGAACAGGAATACACACATAGTATGTAGGCAGCATTTGACCACGCATCTTTGCGCACACATACGGCGATCGAGCACGCATAAAGGGGGGGCTAAAAGCACTGATGGCAAAAGAATTGGAGTAGTAAGGTGGATCGATAGATAGCAGTTTAGTTTTGAGCAAGCTCTGCGCCCCCGTTGCCCTGCTGTATGTGCTGCAAACTAAGAGCTTGGGGGAGCCACGAGAGTCCCCCTAAGCACAAGTTATTTTAGGGCCTTCCAAGCCAAAGGACCCTCGCCCCTACGTCGCTTTTGTCCTCAGCTACTGAGTTTGTACCTTTCAGGAGTGAGGAAATCTTGGGGGTTTTCTTGGTGCCTCCTTGCTGTGACTCTCCTTCAGCACGTGAGTCATCGGCTACAGCGGCCTCTCCTCTTTTCTTCTTTTTGCTCTGTCCCCTCCCAAAAGATAATGAGCTCAATAAGCCACGCAGCCTATACTGAGGGTTGGTGCCTAGAGCTCGAGGGGACCGTTGAGTGTCCGGCTCGCCTCCTGCTGCAGAACGTGCTTCTTCTTGCTCTTCTTGAGAATACACAGAACTAGGGTTACTCTCCACTGACTCCACGACATCCTCACACTCTTGCTACACAGGCAGCACATACGCAGGAGTAGGGAGGCTAGGCTTTGCAGTTGCTGGGATTACAAGGGCTTAACCCTGAATCGTAGGCTCCGCGTCCTCCTAGATGCGGCACCAAACTCTCAAGATTCCGCCCCCTACTATTCAACCGTAAACTCTGACGCTTAACTCACGTCTGCTGAGGGTCCTTTCATGAGCTCCCTAAGGACAGAAGTAGCAGAGACTGAAGGCACCAGCTCCCCTAGGGGGGCACCCATGGCCATGGCAAAAAATGCAGAGAAGAGCAGGCTAAAGCTTCCTGAAGGAACAGCCACGTAGGGGGGGGGTAGTGCCGAACTACTGTCCATTCCTGTCTCAGTAGAGGAAGTAACAGAGTCTGAGGCGGCCGACCCCTCGACAGGAATCGATGAACTTCTATAGTATCCAAGGGTTTCTGAGCGGACATGCCCTACAGAGGCATCACGCGGGGGGGAAAAGCTGCTCGCTGATTTTGCTCTTATCGCGCTCTTTGCGGGGTTCGGCGCCCCCATCTGAGGCGCCAGAAGGACACAGCGCATACAGAAGCAAGCGGCTAGCGGATAACCAACAGGGGGAAGGCAAGGTATGTGAAACAACAGCACAAGCAAAGCAGCCCTCGTACAAAGTCCACTTCTCTAAACCTGCAGGTGGCAAGTAAGATGAAGGCTAAAGAGGCTAGCTTGATCCCTCTCAGAACCAAAAGGAATCACACAACCCTCCACAACACCTCCCAACTTTGAGGCAACAAAGGTCCGTCGTATATATATGCCCCTAAAAGCCCGCGTTGTCCTTCGACGCAGGAGTGTGAGTCTTTGAAGCCACAACACAGCTCCTTACTCTGCAAGCTCTCAGTTTGAAGGCTGAGAACCACCAGAAGGCGATTTGGGTGCAAACGCGGACGCAGTTTACAGGAGCTATAGCGCACAGCCGATAGGGCTTGTGCTGTTGCTGACTCAGGTGCTCGCGGTGATGTTGGTGATGAGGAGGGTGAGGGACGCTTGAGGCGAGAGTTACGAAGGGGGCGCTCGCTTGCTCCAGACGCAGCTCTTCGCCTTGCTGCAGCAGACCATCCGGGGAATCGTTTCGGATGTGCCGTGACTTCGCTCGCCCCCTGAGCCTTCTAGGGTTGCCACGCTCCAGATGCCCCCCATAGCCCATCCAGTTGCCGTTAAAGCCCCAAAACGGACTGCTGGGTGCTTTTACATCCTCAGCTTGCCGCTTGTCTCCTCCAGAGGATTCCGCCGCCTCCTTACGCGGCTTCCTTGCCTGCCTTCGCAGCAAAGAATCCCTTAGCTCAAAGAGATGCTTCAGGCGCCGGCTCTGTAGCGCCCCTTGTACAACTGCTTGACACTCAGAGAACTGCCCTGAGAAAAAGAGACAGAGCACTACAGAAAATCAGAGTATGTGTGAGTAGCTTTATAAAAGACTGCAGCTCTGGCGGAAGGCATAACTGTGCCCGCAACAAAACGCGGGAAGAAAGCACCCAACAAGCAAGGAACACATCCCCCCAGGGCCCTCTTTCATGTTCATACACCCCCGTCTCTCCGAGGTGATTGATGCTGTTTGTCTATTTCCCTGCGTCTCTCCTCGCTCTTCATCATTGCCTTGAGCTCCGAGGGCTGC